AAATAAATTAAAAAGCTTATTAATAATATTAAATCTAATAACTGTTATTTTAAACTATACTTTTAGGATTGTATATATTATAATATTAAGGTTTAAAAATAAATTTATTATATGTTGCATGACGCCTAATCACATCAAGATATTATTAGGATGCTAAAATTTTTGCCTGCAGTGTAACATTAAATTAGCCAATCAAATGTAATAAAAATTATGATTTGTATAACTTACTATGAAATAGAAGATTATTCATTAGTAAAATATCATAATTATAATCACTATTTAACAATTGATCTTTGTCATTACATTATATTTCTTGTATTTTATAGTAGTGGTGCTTTTGAGATGATTCCTTAAGATAGTATTTCATATGGTATTTAGTACTTTATGTTGGCATTTCAGTAGTACTTGATCTTGATCTGTAGTGTAAATTTGGATTTTTGTGATAGTGTTTTGTCTTCATAGTTTCATCTTTATAATATTGTATTTCTTTATCCTGTGATAGTTCCTTATCTTCATAATAGTTCTTTGTCTTCATAGTTTCTCATTACTGTGGTAGTTTCTCATCCCTATGGTAGTTCCTTATAGTGCTTCATTCTTGATTTCATCTTTGAGTAGTAATAAATTAAGGTTAGTATAAATATTATTTATTAATGTTTATAAAGGCAATAAAGAATTAAAGAAAATTTATTATAGAAATTGAATTATTATTAATTAATATGTAGATGAAACCATCTAAGCAAGTTAAATCTTTAAAGATTATCAGAGAAAAAAAAAGACAAAAGACAACAAAATTGAAATCAGTATAAAACAATTAACATCAAAGAAATACAATATATAGCAAAAGTAAAAAGTGAATATCTGATTCAATGATTAGAATATAAAAATTTTGTACTTTAAAAGTACAAAATCTTTAAATTCTAATTGTTGAATCAGTTATTCGCTTCTCACTTTTGCTATAATATAATTACATTATTCTTATATAAAAATTTGATTTTTTTTATATGTGTATAGAAAGTGAGATTGAATTTTTTGGCAATGAAAGTGATTGGGATAATAAAGGATTTAAACTTGAATTAAATAACGTCTATAATATAATAGTTGATGCAGTTTCTAAACAAAATGCATTTAAAGTATTAAATAATAGATTTTATTATGAAAATACCAAATCTATCATAAAAGACAAGACTGAAAATTAGCAGCACTTGGCTTCAAAAAAATTACTAATTATTTTAGTTTATACAGTAATAATAATGTTAGTAATTTTAAAGATAGTTATGACAGTAGCAATGATGATACAAGTACTATATATATACGATATAATAGTGCTATACTATAAAGTTATAATTGGGTCTTTTGGTTTTGTTTTTTTTTAAAAAAATAAGACAAAAAGATCCAATTATAGTTTTTTTAACTTATTTTTTTTAAACTTATTTTTAAATAATAATTTAAACTATATTAAGATTTATTTGAAGAGGACAATTATAAATTTTCAGTATCTGAGTTAGAGCAAAAAGTTAAAAAGAATACTCAAGATATTAGGCTTCAATATGTTGCACAATATTTTAGACTTGTTAAGTCTGATTTTACTAAACAAGAAATAAGTAACATAATTTCAACTTCACTTAATTGTAGTCCATAGATAGCATATTTGATATGATCTTGGGGCAAACAATACTTAGAGCATAGGTTATTATAACTCAAAGAGGGGAAAGCATCAAAAAAATTATTTGCTTTTGTATGATAAGGATCTTCAAAATAAAATAGTTCAATTTTTAAATTCAAATAAATTTGAATTGAATATTTCTCAAATCTGTGATTATATTACTGATAAAATTTTTCCATGTATTGGAATTGAAGTTAAAAAAACTATAAGTAAGAGAACAGTACAAAGATGGTTAGGCAAGTTAGGGTGGAAATATCAATGTTATCAAAAAAGATTGTATATTAATGGTCATGAAAGAGCAGACATTATAGAATATAGACATATATTTTTAGAATGCATGAAACAATTTGAACTATTAATGCCAAGTTGGTCAGATGATTTAACCTAACAAATTAATTCAGTTTTGCCTAAAAATAAAAAGTTACACATATTAGTAACATATGATGAACAGTATTTTATGCAAATGTGATTAAAAAACATTTTGAGAACCCAGTGATAAACAATCATTACATTCCAAATTACTTAAAGGTAGCTTAATGGTCAGCATGTTCCTTTATGATACAATTGGTCAGCTTTGATTAGATGATATTCATAAAGAACTAAATAGTCAACTTCTATATAAAGAACAAATTCCTAGTAAGGCTTGCTATATAATCTGCCCTAGTGCTCATTATAACAAGTATTAAACTGAAGAAGATGTTGCAAATCAATTAAAAAATAAAGCAATTTCTATTTTTGAAACTATGTATCCTAATTGTGTTGCTGTTTTTGCTTTTGATAATAGCAATAATCATAGTGCATTTGCTAAGAATGTTTTAGTAGTATCAAGAATGAATTTTAAACCAGAAGGCAACTAATTCAAAATAAGAAAAACTTATATATAAAATAGAGAACAGCAAGAAATAGTATTTTCTAATAGAACTTTAAAAGGAATGCATAAAGTTTTTAAAGAAAGAGATTTAGACTATCCTGGTCTAAAAAAAATTTGTAAAAATTGTAAAAAAAGGCTTTTTTAAGAAAATAACTGCTGTGCTATACAAATCTTAAATTTAGAGCCTGATTTTATAAATCAAAAATCACTTCTAGAAGAAATAGTTAAAAAATCTAATTACAAAATAATTTTCTATTCAAAATTCTATTGTGAATTAAATTATATTGAAAATTATTAGGGTGCAACTAAGAGATATATATGAGCAAATTGTAATTATAGCTTTAATGCATTAAAAAATACTGTTCCAGCAGCTCTTGAATCTGTTTCTTTAATTCAAATATGAAAATATGCAAGAAGCTTTTTATGTTATATGAGTATATATAAGTTGGGCTTATCTGCAAAGCAGGCTACTTATGTTGTTCAAAAATATAAATCTCATAGAAGAGTATCAGATAATATAATTAGTGAATTGGATCTTAATTAGATTCTGATATTATAATTTTTTTTTTCTATTATATGATAGTTTTTTTTTATAAATTTATTTTTTTATATATTGCTTTATATTACAATATTTTTTTTTATAAATCTATTTTTTAAATGTTATACTTATAATATTATATGTTGTTATTAAAATTAATAAATTTATACTATAGTATAGTTAGTATTTTTTATTAAATATAGTATTATACTATATATTAATAT